AGAGGGAAGGGGAGGAGAAGGGAAGGGTTGTTCAGTCGTAAAAAAAAAAGTAATAATAATAATAATAAATTTGAATAATTTCGAGAGATGTAAAAAAAAAAAACTGAATTTACGCAAAAACAAGAGAGGGGGGAGGGGAAAAAAACACAACGACGACGACGACAACAACAACAACGACAACAGCAGCAATATTAACAACAACAACAACAGCGGCAATGGTAACAAAAAATAAAAAATAAAAAAATCAAGTTAATGATAAATGCAAATAAATTTATTTTTTAAAAAAAAATGCGAGTGAGAGACGGGAGGGGATGGGAAGGGGAGAAGGAGAAGGAAGAAGAGGTGGGAGAAAGGGAGAGAGAATGTTGCTGTTGTAAAAAAAGGAAAAAAAAAATTTTTTTTTTTTGTTTGTTGCAGCCGGATTCCCAACAGCAAAATTAATTGAAAAAAAAAAGAAAAAAAGTGGTAGGAGATTTTTAAATTTGAATTTACATTTGTTTGTTTGTTTGTTTGTTTTTGTTTTTTTTTCGGTAGAATAATAATGTGAAGCCCGAGGATGTGTAAAAGAAGGTGGCGAGGGAAGATGAGAAGAGGTGAGAAAAAGGAGAAGGGATGAAAAAAAATGAAAGAATGAAAGAAAATGGAGTAAAAAAAAAGTTACAAGGGAAGGAGAGAGGTATGAAAAGAGAGAAGAGAAAGAAAAGAGAAAAAAATTGGAAAAAAGGAAAAGGAAGAAAAGAGAGAGGAAAAAAAAGAGAAAGAAGAGAAAGAAAAAAAAGGAATGAAGAGTAAAGACATATAAAATTATAAAAAATGAAAGTACAAAAAAAAAGAAAAAAGGATAGAGAAAAAAGAAAAGAAAGAACGAAAAAACGTGAAAGAAAGGAGAGAAGAGGAAAGAAAAACAGAAGAAAAGAGAACAAGAACAGAAACAAGAGGAAACAAAAACAAGAATGTATAAGAAGAGGAGAGAGGTATGAGAGAGAAGAAGAAAGGGGAAAGAAAAAAAAAGGAAGAAAAAAGAAGAGAAAAAGAAAAGAGGGGAAAAAGTAGAGAAAGAAGGGAATACAAAGGAAGAAAGGAAAGAAGAAGAAGAGAACAAAAAAGAAAAAGGAAAAGAAGAAAAAAATTGAAAGAACAGAAAAGAGGAGAAAGAAAAGAGAAAAGAAAAAAAGAGATGAAACGATCATCGTGGGACAAACAAAAACTTTTTTTTTTTTTGGGGAGCAATAGAAAATGATAATTTTTGATTCGGGATAAGAAAAAAGAAAAAGTGAAAGAAGAAGAAAGAGAAAAAGAAAAAGAAGAAAAAAACATTTTGAATAAAGCAATAAAAAACGGAAATGGAAGAGAAAGTTGGTACGAACAAGAAAAAAAAAAAAAAAAGTTTTTTACTCGAATACAAAGATGATGATGATGATAATGATAAAGAAAAGAAAGGTGTCTGGAATAAATTTCATCGGGGAAAAAGAAATAAGAATAAAATGAAAAAGTGGGAGTAGAAAAAAAATTTTTTTTTTTTTGGAAAAACTTTTCGGTTAAATCAAAGTTCTATGGAAAAAGAAAAATTTGAATTTGAATTAAGTTCAAAGTTCAATCGTGGAATCAAATTATTTTCCTTTATAAAAATTTTAATTACATTCAATATATAAATCTTTTTTTTCTCCTGCCACGACTTTTTTTATTTCATTTAAAAAAAAAAACGATTCCTATCAAACTCAAAAAAATTTTTTTTTTCGATTAACAAAAATCACACAAAAGTTAAAGAAAAAAAAAATTTTTTTTTTTTTAAACCGGAAACGGATGCATTTTTCCACCGAGACCTTAAAAAGCGCGGGAAACTCAAATTATCAATTTACGACTCGAACCCTTTTCCTACTCTCATCTCTTATCATTCTTCAATCTTAAATCTGATAACGTTCATTTTGTTATTTTTCCTTCTTCTCCTCAAAGTCCTTCCGGTTCGTTTCATCTTCATCATTCTGTTGACGCGAACGGTTTTTTTACGTTCGTACGACGACGTTCGCGTCAAATTTCCCTTTTTTCTTTCTGTCATTTTAACTTTTCAACCCTTCGACCATTTTTTTCTCTCTCTTTTCTGTCTAGTACTGTGACATTTTCTTTTGTCGTTATGTCATTTCATTTGTTGTTTGTTTGTTTGTTTGTCTTTTCGTATCATCTTATTTTTCTCCCCTTCGTTTCCATCCCCTTCTCTTCCTTCTCCTCACAATATCAACCCAACTTTTTTTTTGACAGACGTCATAATATCGATGACGCATTCGATTTTTTTTTGTAATTATGACCCATTTTAACCGGAAACGGAAGTTACAATCATTCATTCGCTATTTAAAAAAAAAATCAAATCGGTAGAAAATAATAATAATAATAATAATAATAATAATAATAATAATAATAATAATAAAATTTGAATTATTGAAAAGAACCTTTTTTTTTCGTTGAAAGGAAAGGTTTATTTATTACCAATTTCCGGTTTTGACTTATTAATTTGAAATTATAAATATTTTGTTATGAAAAATAATAATGATAATAATAATAATAATAATAATAATAATATGATAACATTATTAAATTTTTTTTTAATTTTTGGAGAAATGATGGGAATTTGGAGTGAGAAAAGGAAAAACTGGAGAAAAATGAGTGAGAGTTTTTTTGATGGTGAAAAGTCTGGAGAAAATCTTTTTCTTTTCTTTTTCTAATTTGTTTTTTCTTTTAAAGGATTTTTTCTTTTTTGTTTCGTTTGTGAGTGATAAAAATAAAAACCGTTAATTTTGTTTTTTTAAAAAGAAAATCGTTTAAGCTTTCAAAATGGCGGACGTTTTTTTTTTTTAATTTTTTTTGTTTTTTTAATGTAAAATTATAATAAATGTTGATTCTCGTCGATTGATTACCTGTTTATCTCTCTTGCTCTCTCTCTTTCTCTTTCTCTTTTTAAGTTATCGAATAATAAATTCTTTTTTTTTTATTATCTTTTATTATTTTATATGAAAAAAAAAAAAAAATGGAGGAATCGATAAAGAATTAAATATGGCCGTATTATTTGTAAATGTTGAACGAACATTTCGAAGACTTTTTTTTTAAATGTTGATGATGGTGATGATGGTGGTGATGATGATGAGAATGAGAATGAGAGAGAAAAATGCAGAATGTGAAAGAGAAAAAAAGAGAGAGAGAGAGAAAAATAAAGAAAATGACAAAAGAGAGAAAGAAATAAAGAGAGTGATAAAATGTAAACAAAAAAGAGAGAGAGAGAGTGAGAGAAGGAAAGTAAGAGACAAGGAAAGAGAGGGGGAAAGAGAGAGGGAGGAAAATAAAAAAAAGTAAAAGAAAGAAAGAGAAAAAGAGAGAAAGAATTACAGAAAGAAAGGAGAAAACAGAGAGAAAGAAAATAAATAAAAAAAAATATAGACTATTTTACGACAAAGAAAAAGATAGAAAATAATCAAACAATGTAAAAAATAGAAAGAAAAATGTAGAGTAAGAGAGAGAGAACAAAACATACAAAGAGAAAAGAATAAAAAAAAGAGAGAGAGAAAGAGAAAGAAAGAAACACAATGTAAAGACAAAAAGAAAGTTACAAACAAACACAAAAAAAAGAGATAGATGAGAAAAACAGTAACAAACGCAAACAAACAAAGAGGAATGTTGGAGAAAAAAAGAAGGAGAGAAGAAGGGGGAGCGGGGGGAGTGAATTTTAAAATAATAATAATAATAATAATTTCGATGGATTTTAACGAGAAAATAATTTTTTTTTTTTCACTTTAAATTTATTTTCTTTTTTTTTTTTTTACTCACGTTCCAGAGCTTATTTAAAAATTATATATAAACTTGCTGGAAAAATATTTTTTAAAATTTATTTTTTTTTCGGTTTTTTCTTTCTTCCTCCCCCCTCCCACTTCTTTTTATCCTTTTCCTCCCCTTAGCCTTCTTCCTTACACCATCCTCTCCGTTTTTTTTTTTTTTTTGTTGTTGTTTTCCGCGTGTTTTACGCGTCTTCCTTTTTTTTTTAAATTTTTTTCCAGTAAGTAATTTTCAACCGTCGAGTTTAAGCTTCCAAAAAAAAAAAAAAGAAAAAAATGAAATTTTTCGTACTCGTTACTTCCTGTCATCTCCAGAACTAAAGTCTGAGAATTTATCGTGCACTCACGTTAAACGAACCAGGAATAAATTTTTTCCTTCTCTTCCTTCCCCTCCCCTCCCCCTCCTTCTCCTCTTCCTCCCTGTTCTTCTTCTTTTCTTCCTTTCATCCTTTGACCGTCAAAAAAAAAATTTTTTTTTTTTTCTTTCTGGAATTTTTCCGGTTGGTTTAATAAAGAAAAATCAATCCGACGTATAAAGTGAAATGATTCCATATCATCATCATTATCATCATCGTTTGTTTGTGTTTGATGGGGGGCAGCTGGGGAGGAAGAGGGGATCGAATGTTTTCTCCGATCAAGTTATCAAATCGTATATACCCAAAAATATTTACTCAGATGTCATTTTGTGACATTTTCTCCAAAAAAATATGGAGGGAAGTGAATAATCCGTCAGGGGGTAGAAAATAACTCCCTCGAGTGTACCTCACTTAGTTTTTTTTGTTTCTTACCCGAAAGAGAGAGAGAGAGAAACAAAAGAGAGAGAAAAAAAAAGTGGAAATAGTAAATGTGATACAATATATGACATTAATTCGTTTTGTTTTTTCTTTTTTTTTTCGTCTCTTTTTCCCCATTTTTCCCATTTTCATTTTCTCCCCTTCGTTTTCCTTTTTTTTTGTTATCCAAAAAAAAAAAATTAATAAAGTGCAAAAAAAAACGATGAACGCCACCCAAATAGTAAAAAACATTTCTCTAATTAATTTTCTGACATTTATCGATCGACATCTCGAACGATACATCGATCGAGATACTGTTTGAGCAATTGATCGAAATATTGTTAGAAATATTTAACGAAAATCATTCGAGATATGGTTCGAGTTATCGTTCAAAATATGGATCGAAATATCAATCAAAATATCGTTCGAGATACCGTTCGAGATATTGATGAAAATATTGTTCGAGATATGGTTCGAGAGATCGATTAAGACATTGTTCGAGATATCGATCGAGATATTGTGTATGATATCGTTCAAGATATGGTTCGAGATATCGATTGAAACATTGTTCGAGATATTGTTCGAGATATTGTTCGAGATATTGTTCGAGATATTGTTCGATATAATCGAAAATCCGTTGAATTCTCTTCGAAATAAAATTTTAATTTTTTTTTCTACAATTTTTCCATCTCGAATCATTCGATACAACAATCACGACGACATTTTGAAAAATACGAGAACAATCAAACAAACAAACGCGAAATGTTGTTAATGATAATGATAATAATAACAATAATAATAATAATAATAATAATAATAATAATAATAATAATAATAATAATAATAATAATAATAATAATAATAATAATAATAACCGAAAGCGACCGAGTGAAAAATAAATTTTTTAAATGTTATTTTCAATGTCGGAGAAAAAAAAAGAAAGAAAATTCAAAGAAAACTCAAAGAAAATTAAAAATTAAATTTATAAAAAAAAAAAAAAGATGGTGTCGGAGATGAAATGAGAGATGGAGAGAGATAGAGAGAGAGAGAGAGAGAGAGAGATTGTAATAAAAACTGCAAATGAATGAATGAATGAATTAATGAAAGTACTTGAAAATTGTTGGAGTCGTCGTGATAACACCGCACCTGACACTGGAATTTTTTTTATTATTATTATCATCATCCCCTATTTCTTCTCACCCTCTCTCTCTCTCTCTCTTTTTACGAGTCGTCTTCGTATTTTTTTCAACCCCTTTATATCGTTACTCTTATATTAGTTTAATAGAACGTAGATAAAATTTATCCCTCCGACAAAACGTAAAAACTACTTAAACACGGTCCAGTAGTAAAAATATAACTGATAATAATAATGATGATGATAATGATGATGATGATGATGATGATAATGTTTTTGTAAAAGACATATTTTTTTTTTTTTTTTGGTAGGGAGTGAAAAATGTCGCCGCCGTCAACCCCTTCGTGTGAAAAAAAAAAAGGGCCTTAGTTTCGATTATATTATTGATATATATTTACGTGTGTTTTAAGAGGGTATAAAAGGGTGGAAAAAATATATGATAAGGGTGGCAAATAACAAAATAAAAGAAACAAATATTCAATCACTTTTTTTTCCTTTTTTTTGGTTGTTTTAACAAAATGGAAAAAAAAAATTTTTTTCCTTTTTTTTGTCCTTTGATGAAATCCTTTTCAATTTTTTTTTTCTTTCCCTAAGTCGATTACTTTTTTTTTGTTTCTATCTTTCTCTCTCTCTCTCTCTCTCTCTGTTTTTTTACCCTTTTATTCTATCTTTCACTCACTTTTTTCTCGGTTATACTATTTTATACTTTCTCTAAGACTCTTTTTCTATTTTAGTTTCTATCTTCCTTTTCCTCTGCCTCTTTTTTTCTTAGTATCTTTTCACCTCTTTTTCTCTTTATTCTTCTTGCTTTCGTTCAAACTCTCTCTCTCTCTTCTTTCCTTTCTTTCATTCTATTTTTCTCTCTCTTTCTACTCTTTTTGCTTTCATTCAATCTCTCTCTCATTTTTTTTTCTTTCATTTTATTTTTCTCTTATTTTTCTTTCGGTTCTTATCTTTTACTATCTCTCTTTCTCTTCTTTAAGTTCTATCTCTCTTTTTCTAGATCTCTCCTTCTATTTTCTTCTCCTTTTCTTTCACTTTCTCTTCCTCTTTTTTCCTCTGTTTTTTTTTCTTCGTATTTTGTCCTCACTTTTTCTCTTTTTCTTTCTCTCTTATTCTTCTTCCTTTCATTTTATTTCTCTCGCTCTTTCTCTTTTTTTCTTCCTTTTATTTTAAATAACTCCTGACTTTCTTTCTATTTTACTTTCTACCTCTTTCCTTCCCTCTTCTTCTTCTTTTTCACGACCTATCTTTCTTTCTCTCAGTCTTTCTTCCTACTTTCCTCTCTTTTCCTCTCTTTCCCTTTCCCTTTTCTCTTATCCCTCTCTTTTTCTTCTTATCTTTTCCAGCCTCTCTTTCTTTTTTTCCTTCTCTTTCTTTTCTCCTTGTCATTCTTTCCCCCCTTTTTATCTCTTTCTTTCTCACTCTCCCCTCCACCTGCCTATTGTTTTTTTTTCATCATACATTCACTCGTTAAAAATAATTTCAAAAATTAGAATTATTATAAAATATATCTTTAATACGGCCCTGACTAAATTTTTTTTTCACTTGATTGTTGTTATAAATTTTAGGAGAGAAAAAAAGAAGAAGAAAATGTTAATTATGTATAAATAAATAAATAAATAAATTTTATTTATTTAAAACATGAAATAGATAAATGGCTAACAAAAGGAAAAAAATTCAATTACGTAATTTATATATATACCCGATAAATAGAAAAAAAATTTTTTTTTTTTCTGCTGGAGAAAATAAATTATTTGGAAAAGTAAATGAATGAATGGAGTGTGTGTGCGTAAAAGAAAAAAAGAGAAAGAAAAAGAAGAAGATAATGAGAAAGATGGAAAGATGAAAAAAGAGAGAAAATAAAAATTTTTTAAATATTTACATGGGATGGTAAGAAATAATTTTTTTTTTATAAAAATCGGTAAAAATAAATTTTTAACCGCCGACGACACCACCGCTCCTACCACAACCGCCACCACCACCGACACCGCCTACCTACTTTCATACTCCAGAATATTTTTTTCTCCAGTCGGATTTTTAAATAAAATAAAATATTTTTTATTTTCCTTTTAGTTTTTCATTTAATTTTATTTTTTCGTTTTTTGTTTTTTATTTTTATTTTTATATTTTTCCAGAAACGTCTACTGCTGGATAATATATTGGTTCTTAGTGGGATAAGAAAAGCGCTGGAGAAAAATTAAATTCGGTAATAAATTAATTTAATTTCCTTAATTTTGGTCTGAGAGAAATGGGGGAAAAATAAACGCAAAGTAGTTGTTGTTGTTGTACTACTACTACTACTTGTTTACGGTCTGTAAATGGGAAACATGCAATATGGCGTGGAAGGGGAAGGGAGTGGGGGTGGCGGGAGAAGAAACAATACGAAAAAGAAGATCCGGCGGGGTGGAACTAAAGTGGGAGGATTAAGGAGAAGGAGGGGAAAGGGAGAGGACACCTCCCCTCTCGTAAATCGCAATTCAACTCATTAAAATGTCGTTAGTTTTACACGATGCGAAAATTTTAAACAAAAATAATAATATTAATAATAATAATAATGATGATGATGATACTAATGATAATAATAATAATTTGTACTTTTTTTTTTTATTTGACGTCCGAGAAAATTTTTATCGAGATAAATATTATTATTATTTTTCTGGAAGAAAGGGAAAAATTTGTTTTTTATTTTTTCTTCTTGTTTTAAGTTTCTCTCTCTCTCTGTCTCTATCTTCACCTATTCCTCTCTCTATCTCTATCTCTATCTTTTCTCTTTCCTCTCTCTATCTTTCTTTCTCTCTTACTTTTACTCTGTTATTTCCTCTCTTTCTTTTACTTTCTCTCCTTCTCTTATCTTCTCTATTCTCTTTTTCTTTTTTATTTCCTCTTTTTCTTCTTTCAGTCTCTCTACCTAACCTAACCTCTTTCCGTCTTCTACCTGCCTCTTTCTCTTATTTTTTCCTTTTATTTTTTCTTTTTCTTCTTCCTGTCTCTCCCTCTTTCTCTCTTCCTCTATCATCTACCTGTTTTTTCACTTACTTTTTCCTTCGCTTTTGTTCTCTTTTACTTCCTATTTCCTTTTTTTCTGTTTGTCTCTTACTTCTTATTTCCTTTCTTTTTATTTGTCTCTTACTTCCTCTTTTACTTTCTTCCTCTCTCTCTTTCTTTGTATTTATCTCTTTTTCTCATTTTCTTTCTTAATCTTTCTTCTTCTTTTTTTGTTTTGTCGGATTTTATTGTTATCGTTTTCATTTTTTTTTTTTTCTATCTATCTCTAACTCTCTTTTTCTTCTTTTTTTCCTGATTTCTCTTTTTTCTCTGTCTTATTTCTTCTCGTTTTCTCTTTCCCTCTCTTTTTTTTATGCTTTGTCATTCTTTCTTTTTCTTCCGTCGCATTCTTTTTCTCTATTTTAATTCTTCTCTCTTTCTTTCTCTCTCATTTTTCACTTCATCACTTTTTCTCCCACTTCGTAAACGAAATAATATTTCTTAATTATTTATAATCAATTAAATACGCGTCATAAAATAAACTTTTTCGTTTAACCTTTTTCTTTTCAAACCTTTTTCATCGATTATTTTATTACGATACCTTTTATTTTCTAATTCCACTTTGGAAAAATCTAGAAAACGTTTAAAAATTTTTAATCCTTTTTTTTTTCACGAAAAATGTTTAAACGTTTAACAAAAAATTAATAAAAATCGTAAAAAAAAAATTTTTCCTTTTTACGTTAATATTTTTTGTACGCACCTTACCCCGCCCCTCCCTCTACCTGCCCCCCTCACGTCTCGTCAAACAAAAATAAAAAAATTTTTTTTTGTTTAAAATCTCCAGGATCAAAATTTAATTTAAAAGTAATAATAATAATAATAATAAAATTTGTTTCAGACGTAAATAGTTTAAAATTGAAATTTTTTTTTTTTTTTTTAAATCCAAATTTTATTAAAATTTTTATTTTGAATTAACCGGAAATGATTTCGACGGGTCGGTCGGCAAAGGGTAAATTGAAATTTTATTTCTTTCTATTCGTTCACCACGTGATCAATTTTGTTTTTTTTTTGGAAATTTCCAGAATTTTCAAAATTGGAAAAGAGAAAAAATAATAATTTGCGTCCCATTATTTTTCGATTAAATTTTTTTTTTTTTATTTACTTCCGTTTCCTTTTTCCCATTTCCCTTCTACTACTTCCGCTTTTCACCCGTAATTTCTTTTTAAAAAAAAATCACGTGACGAGACGACGACGATAAGAGAAAAAATCAGTTAAAAAAAAAAAAAAAATGTTTCGAACGTTACATAACACTCGGTTGAACTAATTTCCGGTTACGTTTTTCCGGTCGTGAAATGTTTATTTTCCTGACATTTAATTCATAATCATGATTAATGACTGATGGAATAAAATTACTTGAATATCCAAAATAGAAAATGTATGCCTCTGGAGAAATTATTATTATTATTATTATTATTATTACTTTTTTTTTTTAAAAACCGAATTTAATGGGATAGAAAAAATTTTTTTTTTTTTTTTAAATTTTAAAAACTGGAATGATTAACAAATAAAATATAAA